GAACGGGAGAGAGAGAGAGAGAGCGATAGAGGGAGATAGAGAGAGAGAAGGGCGGGAGAGAACGAGAGAGAAAGAGAGAGAACACGAAAACAACAGGGAGATAGCAGGGTATTCTGACATGCGAAAAATAGGTACGCTGTTATCTAGAGACAAAGAAATTACAACACCACATCGAGTGGAAGTATACATGATGCAAGGCCGACGTCTGCATGTGTATCTATTCAGAATGCACGAGCGCGTCTTAGAATTGTCTGTGCGCGAGAGAGAGGGAGAGAGAGATATAGAGAGAGAGAAAGCGAGCGAGAGAAAGAGAGAGAGAGAGATTGATGGAGGCTGCGAAAAATGCACGGACCCAAGCACCCGAATCGTCCCGACAGCAGCAGGCGCGTTGGCGGGTGTTCCGTTCTCTCCCTCGCTCTTTCCCCCCCCCCCCCTCTCTCTCTCTCCATCTCTCTCTCTTTCTCTACCCTCTCATTAGGTATCATGTGGTTGCTCCCTCTCTCTCTCTCTCTCCCCCTCTCTGTCTCACTCTCTATCCCTCGCATGTTGTCGTTCTCTCTCGCTCTCTCTCTCTCTCTCTCCTTCTCTCTCTCTCTCTCTCTCTCCCTCTCCCCCTATATATGTATTTTTTTATTATTATATATATATATAGATTGCTATTCGTTTAGTTCGTTCGCTCGCGCTCTCTCTATCCTTTTGTGATCCATATCCGTCTCTTTCTCTCTCTCTCTCTCTCTCCCTCTCCTGTTTTTTTTTTCCTGCGCGTGCGTGTATATACATATACATTTGCACATGCATGTATATCCACCGACATACCCACCTATGCATCTGGGTAAGCATATATGTGCACGCGCGTTTAGTCGCAGGTGTTTCCGTCACCCGTATTGCTATACATGTATATGTATATGTGTATAAATAAATATATATATGTGTGTATATGTGTAAACATGAAAATGTATATATATAGACATATATATATATATATGTAAACATATATGTATACATTCATGTGCATACGTCTACACATATGTGTGTAGAGATACGCACGTACCTATTTATATACATATGCATTCACATAGCGTTGCAACGCTCCCTCTCTCTCGCTTTCTCTCCCTCTCTCGTTTCACATCCCCCTCTGTGCGTGTGTGCGTCGTCCCATGTGTATATATATACACGTGTACCGTTAGTATCGCTCTCTCCCTCTAGTAACGTGGTGCGCGCGCGGTCTAGACAGAGCGCAGAGCAGTTCAGTGAGACGCAGGCGCATAGCTCAAGATGTCGCATGCCCCTCGCGGCCACAGAAAAGAAGCACACGGCGCAATTTGCGTGGCGCCGCAACCGAACAACCGAATGCACCAACCCCATCGGCATATTTCCTCAAAGCAACAACGGGCATTTACAGCAGCAGCACCTACAACCACAACAAACACACTACCAACAAGAACAGCAACACCCACGCGAACACAAACACACACACCCGTGGATTCGCGTGTGCCTGTGTGCCGTTTGCGTGGCTTCGCATGTCCGCCGATGTCTGTCGTTGTCTTCGCTCGTCCCTAGATGTCTGCGCGAGTCTTAGCGTGTCGGCCAACGTCTGCAGTTGTCTGCGCGTGTCCCTCATTGTCTTCGTGTGTCTTCGCATTTCCGTCGATGTCTCTCGTTGTCTTCGCATGTCCGTCGATGTCTCTCGTTGTCGTCGCATGTCCGCCGATGTCTCTCGTTGTCTTCGCATGTCCGTCGATGTCTCTCGTTGTCTTCGCATGTCCGTCGATGTCTCTCGTTGTCTTCGCATGTCCGTCGATGTCTCTCGTTGTCTTCGCATGTCCGTCGATGTCTCTCGTTGTCTTCGCATGTCCGTCGATGTCTCTCGTTGTCTTCGCATGTCCGTCGATGTCTCTCGTTGTCTTCGCATGTCCGTCGATGTCTCTCGTTGTCTTCGCATGTCCGTCGATGTCTCTCGTTGTCTTCGCATGTCCGTCGATGTCTCTCGTTGTCTTCGCATGTCCGTCGATGTCTCTCGTTGTCTTCGCATGTCCGTCGATGTCTCTCGTTGTCTTCGCATGTCCGTCGATGTCTCTCGTTGTCTTCGCATGTCCGTCGATGTCTCTCGTTGTCTTCGCATGTCCGTCGATGTCTCTCGTTGTCTTCGCATGTCCGTCTACGTCTGGTGGTGTGTGTTTTTGCATGTTCGTCGACGTCTGTTTGTGTCGTCGCATGTTCGTCGACGTCTGTTGGTGTCTTCGCATGTTCGTCGATGTGGCTCGTTGTCTTCGCATGGCCGTCGGTGTCTGGTGCTGCCGTTGCATGTCCGTCGACGGGTATGCGAAACCACTATTGCATAATTGTAGATGGGAGGGGTGGGGAGTGGGGGGGGAGGGAGGAGGGGGAGGGGGGGCGGGGCGAGGGTGAGGGGAGAGGGAGACGGAGGAGGGCGAGGGGAAGGAGGGTGAGGAGCGAGAGGGAGAGGGAAGGGGAGGGCGGAGAGGGTGGGTGAAAGCGGGCGGGGGGATGGGAATTGGGGGAGGGGGGAGGGGGGCGATTTGAGGAGGGGCTGAGGGGAGGGATGAGACGCAAGCGGGGAGGGCGCGGTGAAGGATGCTGCGGGAACAGTGCGGACGAGGGACGTCTAGGGCGAGGCGGAAAGGGGGAAAGGGGGAGAGTGGCCCCCAGAATTGTCTTCCTGGTGCGTTCTGGCAGAATCCCGAAGGGAATTCAGCAGCGGCGGCGAGCGCGTCCCTGGAGCCCCCCCCCCCCACACAAAAAAACAGAGCCTGGAGCATCCGATCCTCGGACGCCGACCCCCCTACTCCTCCTCTCCCTCCGTTCTCTCCATCCTCTCTTCCTCTCCTCCTCTCCTCCACGTCCTGCCCCCTCCCCCTCCCCCTCCCCCGCTCGCATCGTCCGCCGACGCTGTCTCTATCTAAACTCATCCCCATCTTCAGCTGCTGTATCCTCCATTTCTCTTCTTCTCATCTCCTCCTCATCCTCCTCTTCCCTCTCCTCCTCCTCCTCTTCGTCCGCTTCCTCCTCCTCCTCCTCCTCCTCCTCCTCCTCCTCGCCTCCTCGCATCCTCCTACTCCTCCTGCTCCTCCTCCTCCTCATCATCATCATCACCATCACCATCATCAGCATTATCATCATCAGCATCATCATCATCATCATCATCCTCATCATCATCATCGTCACCATCATCATCAGCAGCAGCGGCATCTTCATCATCAGCATCATCATCAGCAACAACAACATCATCGTCAACATCATCATCATCATCAGCATCATCATCATCAGTATCAACATCATCATCGTCATCATCACCATCATCGTCGTCATCATCATCATCATCATCCTCATCATCATCAGCATCATCATCATCAGCATCATACTCATCCTTCCCCCCATCTGTCCTCCCCTCCTCCCCGAGCCTGGGAGCGTGAGGAGCGCTCGGGGGTTGAGGACGAAGACGGTGACGAGGATGAGGACAGGGGCGATGGTGAGGGGCTGGATGAGGATGAGGCTCAAGGCGATGGCGAGGACGAGGATGAGGGTGATAATGAGGATGAGAATGAGATAGCCTCCTCCTCCTCCTCATCCTCCTCCTATTCCCCCTCCTCCTCCCGCTCCTCCTCTCCGAGGGCGAGGGCGACGGCGATGATGAGGGCGATGATGAGGATCGGGGGAGGGCGAGGATGCTGAAGACAAGGAGGTGGAGGGGGAGGAGGGGGAGGTGATATTGCCACGGGCAGTCGGAACGGGTAGCCCGACTGGCCGAGCTGGCCCCCAGCTCGGCGGTGGCAGCCTGTCTGGCCGCCGCACACTGTTCACAGTGTGCAAACTGCACTGAAATGGGCCTAGCTGGCGGGCGGGCGACGAGCGGGGCGGCGCGGCGAGCGGGGCGGCGCGGCGAGCGGGGCGGCACTCTAACCACATCTTCTGAACTACACCCCCTCGTTCGTTATCATCACCATCGCTACCCTGGTTTCGGCATTGCGATCGCGACGCCCCAGCCGCGTCGGGACGTCGCAATCGCAACGCCGTAAACCAGGGTACCGATGACGATGATGACGAACGCGGACGGGGCTCAAAAGGCGTCAACGTCTCTGCACTGATGCTTTCGTCGCGAGCATCAGCAGCATCATCGGCAACATCATCATGCTCATCATCGTCATCACCATCGCCATCCGCATCACCATCGCCATCGTCATCATCACCACCAACATCATTCGTACCATGATCAGCAGCAGTACCATTATCATCACCGTCAGCACTATCATCATCGTCATCATCATCGTCGTCGCCGCCGTTGTCGTCGTCGTTATTGTTACCACTATTAGTATCATCATTATCATTATTGTCAGTATCACCATCATCATCATGATCCGCATCATCAGCAGCACCATCAACATCGTCATCTTCATCAACATCATCATTGTCATCAACATCATCAGCATCAGCATCAGCGTCATCATCATCACCATCATCATCACCATCATCATCATCATCAGCATCATCATCATCATCATCCTCATCATCATCAGCATCATCATCACCAGCACCGTCATCAACAACGTCGCCATCACCATCACCATCACCATAGGGCCTGCGATGAATGCTGGACTCTAGAGGTCTGAAGGTGGAGAAGAAGGATAGGTGATCAAGGACGGGAACTCGGAAGGATGGGGGCGGACGGGTGAGTAAGGAGGAGGAGGCGGTGAGAATTGCACACCTTCTTAGGAGCTCCTCCTCCTCCTCCTCCTCCTCCGCCGTTCCTTCCGCCTCCTCATCCAGCTCATCCTTCTCCTCCGTTTCTTCCTCCGCCTCCTCCTCCACACCTCCTCCCCATCCCTTTCCACCTCCGATGATCCCTCCTCCTCCTCCTCCTCCTCCGCCTCCTCCTCCGTCCCCTCCTCTTTCTCCTCCTCCACCTCCATCTCCACCTACACCTCCTCACCATCAGCATCCTCATATTCCTTTCCCTCTTGGAGGTCTGGCCAGCCTGACACTCACGTCTGAGTGTCGTTGCCACTCGTGCCGCTCACGCGGCGGCGCTTCGCCTGCTTCTGGGGGCCGTCGCCATCGTACGGCTGGGTGCCATAGACCTCGGCCTCGGGGTCCGACACCACGACGTCACCATTGTCATCCTCGTCCGTGGCCTCGATGGCGGTGTCCGTCTGGCCCGTCACGCCGACGCCGCCGCCGTCCTTCACGCCCTTCTCGTAGCCGATGCCGCCGCCCTTCTGGACCTGCTCGTGGCCAACGCCGCCGCCTGCCAGCCCCTGCTCGTGGCCGCCGCCGCCGCCCTCCAGGCCCCGCTCGTGGCCGATGCCGCTGCCCTCCAGGCCCTGCTCGTGGCCGATGCCGTCGCCCTCCTGGCCCTTCTCGTGGCCGATGCCGTCGCCCTCCTGGCCCTTCTCGTGGCCGATGCCGTCGCCCTCCAGGCCCTTCACGTGGCCGATGCCGTCGCCCTCGCGGCCCTGCTCGTTGCCGATGCCGCCGTCCTCCAGGCCGTTGTCGTGGCCGATGCTGTCGTCCTCGATGACCACCGCGGCAGGCACACTGTCGGCCGACGCTGCGCCCGAAGCCTCGCCGACGTCGCTGGGCAGCTCGGTGTGGAGCTGCCCCGCCACGCCCTGCTTCGTCAGCTCGACCTCGGTCCGCACTTTCTCGAGCATGTGCTGGTTCGCCCAGATCACCGTGCCCTTGAGGCTGCAGGCCACCTGCACCTTGTGGTTGCTGAACTTCGTCCAGACCTGATTCGTCCTCGACTTGATGTAGACCTCCCAGCCGACGATCTTGGGCCGCGGCGAGACGCCGACCTACGGGGCACGCGACAACGACGACGACGACGACGCCCATCGACCCCTGACGGGGAGGGGAGTGGCGAAGGATGAGGTGGGGGATGAAGAAGATGCGGAGGAGGAGCTATGAGATGGAGGGGGTAGAGGAGGAGGAGGAGGAGGAGGAGGAGGCGGAGGAGGAAGAGGAGGAGAGGGAGGAGGAGGGGGAGGAGGAGGAGGAGGAGGAGGAGGAGGAGGAGGAGGAGGAGCTGGAGGAGCTGGAGCTGGAGAAGGAGAAGGAGGCGGAGGAGGAGGAGGAGGAGGAGGAGCAGCAGCAGGAGCAAGAGGAGTGGGAGGAGGAGGCGGAGGAGGAGGAGGAGGAGGAGGAGGCGGTGCAAATCTCACTGCCTCTCCCTCCTTCCTCCTCCATCCTCCCCCGTCCCCTGAGTTGCCGTTCCATGATCCGTCCTCCTTCTCCTATACCCTCGACCCTGGTAGTTCAGCACTCCTCGTTCCTCATGTTCTCATCCTCTCGATCCTCCGTCATCCTTCCTCCCCTAGCTTCTGATTGTACGTCCTCGGGCCTTGTAGTGCCCGTAGCTGCGGCACAAGGCGCGGGCCTCCTTGATCTGCTCATTCACCTGTTCCATGGTGATCGGCTTCTCCTCGTTGTCCTTGCCAGCGACCGCCTCGCCGTCGCCGTCGGCGTCCTCGGCTTCGCCCTGCGCGCGCTTGGCCTTGCCACGGCCCTTGCCGCGGCTCTTGCCAGCAGCCGCCTCTGCGCCGTCGGCGTCCTTCTCGGCGGCGTCGCCCTGCACGCGCTTGGCCTTGCCACGGCCTTTGCCGCGGCCTCTGCCAGCGACCGCCTCTGCGCCGTCGCCGTTGGCGTCCTGGCCGGCGTCGCCCTGCCTGCGCTTGGCCTTGCCACGGCCTTTGCCAGCACCAGCCGCAGCGCCGACGACGCCGTCGCCGATGAGATCGGCTGGTGCTGCCTGGAGGAGGAGGGGGGGAGGATGAGGGAATGCAAAGGATGGGATCCTCCTCCTCTTCATGCCCCTCTTGATCATCCCTCCTCCGCCTCCTCCTCATCATCCTCCTCCTCCCAAGCAGTCGGCCTTGAGTTGTTGTTGCTACCAGCCCCGTCCTCAGTTCCCCCACTTTCCTCATCCTCCTCCTCATCCATCTCCTCCCCCTCCTGCCTCCAGCCTCCCCTCGCCCTCGTCGTCCTCCTCATCCTAATCCCCATCCTCATCCTCATCCTCATCCTCATCATCCTCCCTCCTCCCTTCTCCCTCCTCACTCTCTCCTTCTTACTCCTCCCTCCTTCCTCCTCGCCCTCCTCAGTCATCCTCCTCCCTAATTTTCCCCTCCCTCCTTCACCCCTCCTCCAGGGCGTACCCATATCCTCCTCTTCCTCATCTTCCTCCTCCACCTCCTCCTCGCCATCCTCATCCCGCCGTTTCCTCCAAATCCTGAGGACGAGGAGAATGCAAGGATGAGCAGGAGGCGTGGGCGCCTTCGCGGCCTTCTTGGCTTCCTGGGCCTCCTCGGCCTTCTTGGCCGCTGCGGCCTGGATGAGGAGAAGGAGGAGGAGGATGAGGAGGACGAGGAGGACGAGGAGGAGGATGAGGAGGAGGAGGAGGAGGAGGAGGAAGGAGGAGGAGGAGGAGCAGGGGTGGAGGAGGAGGAGGAGGAGGAGGAGGAGGAGGGGGGGAGGAGGAGGAGGGCCGCCTTGGGGTCCACCGCCTCCTCGAACTTCATCCCCTTGTGGAGCCAGCGGTCGCCGTCGTCCCAGACGAAAGCCGCAGCCCCGCTCGCCGCCCTGATGACGCCCACCGCCGCGAACGAGTCGCACTTGCGGTAGGCCCACGACTGCAGCACCACGAACTCGCAGTCGTCGTCGTCGTCGCCGAGCTTCTTGTCCTCCAGCGGCGCAGCTGGGGGCGCCGCGGCGCCGTCCGTCAGCGGCTGGGCGGCGGGCGCAACGACGGGCGCCGCGGTGTCGTGCGTCGGGGGCTCTTCGCTGCCTCGACGACGGCGACGATGACGACGACGACGCCGACGACAAGGACGGCTACATCGTTGAGGTTCGCAGGCCGACGACCGACGATCGACGATCGACAAAGGACGACGGCGGCGACCGACGACGGAAATCGACGACGACGACGGCTACGACCACGACAAAAGACGACGACAACGACGACGACGACGACGACGACGACGAGGGCGACGATGACCGATCACGACGGCGACGACTGCGGCGATCGACGACGTCGACGACGACGAACACGACGAACACGACGACCACGACGAAAACGACGACGACGATGCCGACCACGCTGACGACGACGACGACGGCGACGTCGACGACGATGACGGCGACGACGACGACGGCGGCGACCACGACGACGCCGACGACGACGACGCTCCACCGTCGTCGCTCAGGAAGCTGTCGTCGCCGTCGCTGTCGGCCCACATGGCCGTGAGCTCCTTGTAGACCTTGGCCGAGCGCGGCGTTCTCGAAGCCTTCGGTCGTGGCCTCGAGGCGCCCTCGCCGTGCTCCATCTTCCGCTGGAGCGAGCTCGGCACCGTGTACCCCAGCCTTGACGTTGGTTGGCGCGGCATCGAGAGGCACATGAGGGATTGCGAGGAGGAAGACGGCGCGACAGTAGCCAGAGGAAACTTCGCCAGTCTAGCTCGAACATCCCTCGCCCTCAGGGCAACGGATTTCGAGCTAGGCTAGCTTGACTTCCTCTAGCTACTGTCGCGCAATCCTCTGCATCGCCGCCCCGCAGGGCTTCGAGGAAGGCGAGGAGGTCGAGGGGTGGAGGCGAGGGCGGAGGCGAAGAGGACAGCGGAGGTCGCCTCTTGATGCGGCGCCAGCCAGCCACCATTGTCTGCAGCTTGCTGGCCTCCGCGCAGACCGATGGGCCGTTCAGGGCGGGCAGCACCTAGGACGGATGGGGGGGATGGCTATTCCTTATTCGTCTCCTCCTCCGCTTCCTCCTCCTCCTCCTCCTCCCCTCCTCATCCGCCTCATCCTCTTCCTCCTCCTCATCCTCCTCCTCCTCATCCTCCCCCTCCTCCTCCTCGCATCCTCCTTCTCCTCTTCCTCGTCCTCCTCCTCCTCCTCCTCCTCCTCCTCCACCTCCTCCTCCTCCTCCTCCTCCTCCTCCTCCCCCTTCTCGTCATCTTCATCCTCCGCCACCTCTTCATCTCCTATCCACCACCCCATCGCAGTCATCATCCTCCACATCCTCGTCGCATTCCTCCTGCTCCTCCTCCTCCTCCTTCTCCTCCTCCTTCTCTTCCTCCTCCTCCTCCTCCTCCTCCTCCTCCTCCTCCTCCTCCTCCTCCGCGGCCTTATCACCCTCATTGTTCATCGTCCTCCTCCACCTCTTCCTAGCGCCTCCTCCTCCTCCTCCTCCTCCTCCTCCTATGTGTGTTTCTCCCCTGCTCCCCCTCCCCTACTCCGTCTGCTCCCCTCCTCGTCCTCCTCCTCGTCGTCCTCATCCTTCTCCTCCTCCATCTGTGCACCTCGTGGACGGCGCACTCGTAGTCGGCGATGTTCCACATCAGCGAGGGCGACGCGGCCTCCAGATGCTTGACCGCGCGCCACCACCCCGAGGACTCCAGGAACTCGCAGAGCCCCCCTCATATGAGACAAACTCGGACCGAATCCGACGCTCCATTCATTACCCACCGCCGCCTCCACAACGGAGGGCGGCGGTGGGCGATGAAGGACACGTTGGGTTCTGCTGAGTTTTCTCATCTGGCCTATCTTCTTGCCCTGCTGCGTCCAGTCGCACAGCGGCGTCTTGTGCTGCGGCGGCGCGAGGCGCAGCGCCGCGACGACGTCCGCGACGTCGCCGCCCATAGTTGGGGCAATCGGGCTGTGCGTCGGGTGTCGGGCGACGTCGGGCTGGGCGTCGGGCTGGGCGCCCGACGTCGGGCTGGGCGCAGGGCTCGGCGCCAAAGCCTCGAGCCAGAACGGCTTCCCGAGGGCCCTCAAGGCCTCCCATGGCCCCATCGGGCCTCTCAAGGCACCCCAAAGATTCGGGCCGCGTAGGCCGCCTCTTAGGGCCTCGGGCCTCTTGGGGCCTCGGACCTCTTAGGGCCTCGTATGCCCCTCAGGGCCTCGTAGGCCTCTTAGGGCCTCGGGCCTCTCGGGTTCCTAAGGCCTCTGCGGCCTAGGCCTCTCGGGCCTCATGGGGCCTCGGAGGGTCTTATAGGTCCTTGAGGGCCTCATAGGGCCTCTATGCATGGCCCCTCAGGGCCTCTCGAGCCTCTTAGGTCGGGCCTCCTGGGCCTCTCAGGGCCCCTCGGGCCTCTCGGTGCCTCATCAGCACGGGCTCTTCGGGGCCTCGGGAAGGGGGGGGGGGCGATGGTGGCCCAAGACGGTTCCAACATGGACGGGATACACGAGGAGGCGGAGGACGAATGGCGAATAGAAGTGCCGAGGGAGGAGGAGGAGGAAGAAAGACAAGGAAGGGCGAGCTAGGAGGAGGAAGGATATTGATGGTGATGATGGTGAGGATGAGGATGATGATGGGGATGATGACGATGATGATGCTGATGCTGATGATGCTGATGATGCTGCTGGCGATCGAAAATTGTGATGACGATGTTGATGATGCTGATGATGCTGCCGATGATGATGAGGATGAAGCGAAGTGGTATGGGCACCACCCATCGTCACCATCATCATCATCATCATCATCATCATCATCATCACCACCACCACCATCATCATCATCATCAGCATCATCATCATCGTCATCATCGTTAACAACATCACGGTCATAATGTCTGTCATCAGCACAGTCATCACCATCATCATCACCAGCATCATCAGCATCATATCTATAGATATCAGCAGCCATACTTGGCATCATCGGCGTCCTGCCATCATGGCAACCAGCATCATCACCACACGTAGCATCATGACCATTAACGTATTGTCGTCATCCTCATCACCATCACCTCCAATAGTAAACGTCACCACCATTATCACCATCATCGCCATCCTCATCATCATCATCATCATCATCATCACCGTCATCATCAGTATCAGCATCATCGTCATCATCGTCACTGCCAACAGTAAGTGCACGCGTATCATCGTCACCCGCATCAATATCACCACCCACATCATCATCATCATCATCATCATCATCATCATCATCACCATCACCATCATCCTCATCATCCTCAGCATCCTCATCATCAGCATCATCATCATAAGCATCATCATCAGCATCACCATCACCGATGGCCATCATCATCTTCATCGAATTAAAGTAAAAACGCAAGAAAAACGAGACATCTCGAGACATCTCGAGACATTCGAGACATCTAGAGACATCTAGAGACATCTAGAGACGCATGAAAATGAGCGCTTCGAGCCACCTTCCGGAAGGTGCGGAAGGTGGAGAGCGAGGGCTCCTGGAAGCAATTCTGAGGCCACTTAGGGCTTCGTGGGGGCCGTTTGGGGATCTCTTGGGGCGTTTTTGCCTGCGATATGCCTGTCGCCTCTCGTCCGCTCCCCCGCTCCTGGAGGGAATGCTGAAGGCACTGAAGGCTTCGTGGGGGCCGTTTCGGAGCCTCTTCGGCCTTCGTTTGGGCCTCCCGGGGGGGCTCTTAGGGCCCTCTCGGGCCGTCTTGGGTGCCTCTTGGGCCGTCTTGGGGCCGTCTGAGACCCGCCTCGGCGCCTCTTGGGCTGTCGTGGGCCGTCTTGGGCCGCTCCTGGGGTCGTCTTGGGTGCCTCTTGGGCCGTCTTGGGCGCCTCCTGGGCCGTCCTGGGGCCGTCCTGGGGCGTCTTGGGACCGTCTGGGGGCCCTCCTGGCCCGTCTTGGGGCTCTCTTGGGGTCCTCTTCGGCCGTCTTGGAGCGGTCGGGGGGGCTTCTTGGGCCGTCTTGGAGCGTCGGGAAG